AAAATAAATTGTAAATATTAATAAAATCTAATTCTAAATATTACAAACAAAATTTAAATGTTTAATAAAAAATCTAATTATAAATATTAATTATAAATATGCTAAATAAATATTGCATTACTGTTAACAAAAATAACAAATATTCTAAGTATGGATATATAAGACTGAATCTGAGGAGCGGTGACTCACAGGCAGTGCACAACGGTGCGTCCCTCTCCTCCGTCGTACTCCTCCTGCCATTTGTCCACCTGTCGGATGAGTTTGAGGAAGGAGCGTTTGGAGACGGGTGTGTCGCGGTACATCGGCCAGCCCAGAAACTGGAACTGCTGCACCATCCGGTACCCATCCTGCGGCTGCACGCAAACCACACGTTCATGACACTGGAACAGCTGACTCTGACTGAAGTCGTGAAGACGTGTTAGCGAGCGTTTACTCACCCGCGCGGCGTTATAGATGCGGAAGATCCTGCTGATGATGTCCTCCTCCAGATCTGCCGACACAAACTCCACCTGGATGGGCCCGTGCCGATGGACACCGTTCTCTGGCCAGTACTGCGGACACAACTGGACACAAAACACACGAATGACACACATCAGCATCACATTCACTGCCACTTCAGTGGTTCCATGGCTGATCAGTTTCAGCAGTTAAGTTTTTCTAGAACAGCATGGCTATACCGTCCGGTTCACAAGTTAGACCAGCAATTAACCAGAATAAACCAGCCTAGACCAGCCACTGACCAGAATAAACCAGCCTACACCAGTAACTGACCAATATGAACCAGCCTAGACCAGTAACTGACCAATATGAACAAGCCTAGACCAGAAATTAACCAGTATAAACCAGTCTAGACCAGCAACTGACCATTATAAACCAGCCTAGACCAGAAACTGACCAGTATAAACCCGCCTACACCAGTAACTGACCAATATGAACCAGCCTAGACCAGAAAAGTATAAACCAGCAACTAACCACTATAAACCAGCCTAGACCAGCAACTAACCAGTATAAACCAGCCTAGACCAGTAACTGACCAATATGAACCAGCCTAGACCAGAAAAGTATAAACCAGCAACTAACCACTATAAACCAGCCTAGACCAGTAACTGACCAGTATAAACCAGCCTACACCAGTAACTGACCAGTATAAACCAGCCTTCACCAGTAACTGACCAATATGAACCAGCCTAGACCAGCAACTAACTACTATAAACCAGCCTAGACCAGCAACTAACCAGTATAAACCATCCTAGACCAGTAACTGGCCAATATGAACAAGCCTAGACCAGCAACTGACCAATATGAACAAGCCTAGACCAGAAATTAACCAGTATAAACCAGCCTAGACCAGTAACTGACCAATATGAACAAGCCTAGACCAGAAATTAACCAGTATAAACCAGTCTAGACCAGCAACTGACCATTATAAACCAGCCTAGACCAGAAACTGACCAGTATAAACCCGCCTACACCAGTAACTGACCAATATGAACCAGCCTAGACCAGAAATTAACCAGTATAAACCAGTCTAGACCAGCAACTGACCAATATGAACCAGCCTAGACCAGAAAAGTATAAACCAGCAACTAACCACTATAAACCAGCCTAGACCAGCAACTAACCAGTATAAACCAGCCTACACCAGTAACTGACCAATATGAACCAGCCTAGATCAGTAACTAACCAGTATAAACCAGCCTACACCAGTAACAAACCAGCACAGGACATCTAACCTCAAAATTAACAGTCTTTGGTATAAAGTGTTTAAAAAGTCAACATGAAAAGCAAATTAGTTCATTATCCTCGTCTTATTGTGAATGATTTGTCAGTAAAATTCTAAATACTAACTAACTGTCTTAATAATCTGAAATGACTTTCCATCACAGATTATTGGATAATGTTTACTAGTAGTCAAACAGCAATTTACTTTTTTGTTTTATCAAACTCAACACTTTAAGCATGCAACTTTTTAATTACTGATCTAAATAATATGTTCATTTTGACTATATCATGTGCATTTATACGAATACATGTTACTATATTGTCTGATTTCTCAAGGGTGATGATTTATTCCAGTGTTTCCCAAACTGGGATTTGTCATTTAATGGAAAGTTAATAAATAAATAAATCATAATGTAAAATAAATTTTAAAAAATAAATTACTTATAATTAATTAAATCATAAAATGTAAATAAATTATGTTAAAATAAAAAGCAATAGAAATAAAGCATTTATTAATAATGAATTAAATCATAAAATTGTATAATAATGAATTAATTCATAAAAAGTGAAATAAAAATAAATAATTTTAAAAGAAAATAATCAAAACAAAAACTTATAATTAATTCATAAAAATGTCAAATTAAAATAATGTTAAAATAAAAACAATTAAAATAAAACATTTATTAACATGAATTAAATCATAAAAATGCATAATGAATTAAATCATAAAAATGTAAAATAAAAATAGTTTTAAAATAAAAACAATAGAAAAATAACACATTAACTAAAATCGTAAAAATGAAAATAAAAATAAATTAAAAACAATCAAAAATAACTTATTAATAATTAATTAAATCATAAAATAAAAATAACAAAAATAATTTTAAATTAAAAACAATCAAAATAAACACTGTTTATGTTTTATTTGTTTACCTGCATGTCATGGGAATTAACTGATATCAGAAAACTATGAACACGTGAATGTCTTGTTAAATTTAAATTATTGACTTTTAGCCCAAGCGTTTGTTCGACTGACAAAAACGCTTGGGAATCCCTGGATAATTTCATGTCAGACGTGACGTGCATCTGCTGCATGAGTCTGTGCCGTGTTGCATGTCTTTGATCCTGACGGCCGTGTTCAGGTGTGTGTGTGTGTGTGTGTCTCACCTGCGCGGGATCCACGTCGTTCAGCATCACTATAGACGTGCAGTGATAGTCCAGCGCCAGCCTCCAGAAGTCTTTGACGGTGTTGGGCAGAGGATGCTGGGTAACGATGAACGCAGACGGCTGCTTGTAGCTCTGTGAAGATGAAGATGAAGAGAGGAAAACATCTTATTTCCCGTCTCACTGTCTGCTTGACTAATTGTGTGGAGAAGTTTAGCGTTGAGCTGCGTGTTTTATTACCGCCGCCGGCGCTTCCATTTACTGTAATGAAAACAAATGCGCTGTCGCGTGTTTTACAAACAAACCCATCCCAGTCAATCGTGTTACTGCGTTTTTTACTTCATTCACTGTTATGGATCGCTTTTAGCCATTTTCCTGACAATGAAATGAATCAATTCCATCTGTTTTTGAATTATTTTCAACAAGCACATAATCGTGTGTGCAGTGATTCACATCCATCAGAGACACCGTCGCCTCAGATGCAAAAAACGAGCGATTATTATAGAGACGGATGTACTTAATTAGTTAAATCATAAAATGTAGAAATTTTTTATTAATTATTTTAAAATAAAAACAAAACAAAATCATAAAAATGTACAATAATGAATTAAAGCAAAAGTAAAAATGAAAAAGTAAAAAATTATTTTAATGATAATATTTTATATATCAAAACAAAACACTTATTAATAAATAATAAGTTGTACAGTTGTAAATAAAACATTTATTAATACTGAATTAGATTATAAAAATGCATAACAATTAATTAAATCATAGAAATGTGAAATAAAAATAAATAATTAAAAAATAAAATATAATCCATATAAAACACTTACTAATGATTAATTATATCAAAATGTAAATTTAAAATAAATAATAAAAAAATCTATCAAAACAAAACACTTGTTAATAGTTAAATACTGTAAAATAAGAATAAATCATTCTAAAATAAAAATTATTTAAATAAAACATGTATGATTTAATAAAAAAATAATAATTAAATGAAATCCTAAAAATGTATAATAATTAAATCATAAATATATACAATTTTAATAAATCATTTTAAAATAAAAACAACTGAAATAAAATGTAATTAAATCAAAAATATAAAACAAAAAATGTAAAAAACAATAACTTATTAATAATTAATTAAATCATAAAAGTGTACGGTAAAAAAGAGACTTTTTTTTTTTTACAAACAAATCCCAGTCAATTGTGTTACTGCATTTTGTTTTTGTTTGTTTACTGTTACGGATCACTTTTAGCTATTTTTCCGACAATGAAATCAATTCCATCTGTTTTTGAGCACATAATTGCGTGCAGTGATTCACATCTATCAGAGACACGTCGCTGTCCTTCACTAGGTTAAGAGCGGCAGGTAATGGTCACTAGGTTAAGAGCGGCAGGTTACGGTCACTAGGTTAAGAGCGGCAGGTTACGGTCACTAGGTTAAGAGCTACAGGTAACAGTCACTAGGTTAAGAGCTGAGGTAACGGTCACTAGGTTAAGAGCTGAAGTAATGGTCACTAAGTTCAGAGCTGCAGGTAACAGTCACTAGTAATGGTCACTAGGTTTAGAACTGCAGGTAATGGTCACTAAGTTAAGAACTGCAGGTAACGTTCACTAGGTTAAGAGCTGAGGTAACGGTCACTAGGTTAAGAGCTGAGGGAGGTAATGATCACTAGGTTAAGAGCTGCAGGTAACGGTCACTAGTAATGGTCAGTAGGTTACGAGCTGAGGTAATGGTCACTAGGTTAAGAGTGGCAGGTAACGGTCACCAGGTTAAGAGCGGCACGTAACAGTCACTAGGTTAAGAGCGGCAGGTAATGGTCACTAGGTTAAGAGCTGAGGTAACGGTCACTAGTAATGGTCACTAGGTTAAGAGCTGCATGTAACAGTCACTAGTAATGGTCACTAGGTTAAGAGCTGCAGGTAACGGTCACTAGGTTAAGAGCTGCAGGTAATGGTCACTAGGTTAAGAGCTGAGGTAACGGTCGCTAGGTTAAGAGCTGAAGGTAATGGTCACTAGTAATGGTCAGTAGGTTACGAGCTGAGGTAATGGTCACTAGGATAAGAGCGGTAGGTAATGATCACTAGGTTAAGAGCTGAAGGTAATGGTCACTAGGAATGGTCAGTAGGTTACGAGCTGAGGTAACGGTCACTAGGTTAAGAGCAACAGGTAACGGTCACAAGGTTAAGTGCGGCAGGTAACAGTCACTAGGTTAAGAGTGGCAGGTAACGGTCACTAGGTTAAGAGCGGCAGGTAACTGTCACTAGGTTAAGAGTGGCAGGTAACGGTCACTAGGTTAAGAGC